TTTAAAATATTTTCCTCTTTCTAAGTTTTAAGCAAACGTACGGGAAAATCTGTGATTTGAGAGTTGTGCCTGATACGTGCGTGGAATTATCGGAGTTGATAGCGTAGAAAGATGTTAGCTCCAAAAAATTGTGATTTCCCCAACCCTCAACCCCCAATTGTCTACCCCTACAAAAATGTTTCTGAAAATGATCAGGATCCTTTGAAATGTCAAAAAAGAGGCTTAAGCGATTTTAATTTTTTGTTCGTATTTTTGCAACTAGCTCCGCCGCTACTGGACCGATTTTCAAAAACTATAAAGCTTTTTGTCCTTGGCATAGCAATAACTCTGTGTGGATCTTTCATGAAAATCCGAGCCGTACTTTCCAAGTTATAAATGGGATCAAGGATTAGCGGATAAACAGACCGACTGACATGGTTTTTCTCAATACTTCCGCACTATTGACGAAGGAATTAAAAATAACATATAAATCTCCGACATAGAACTATTTACTGCATACCCATTTTATATATGATTGCAGATAACAGAAATTCGAAATCAAGGAAAGTTGTTAGTATTTATAGACAACGTTCTGCGAACGCCCGACTGCCTCCCATTCGGCATATAATGTAAACAATTCAATTTGACGTTGAAAGGTTTCGCACAATAATTAAGGTCTGCATCTTTCTGGAAAAAACATATTGCAGCATGATGTTAAAGCTGGTTGAAGATTCATTATAACGCAATCTAGTAGACTCTGGTCAAATCTAACAATAAGCTCGTGTAGCAGATATCTTTTTTCTATGTTAGTTCATAGAAGGATAGGGGTCGTGGGATACGATCTTTTAGTTTCTACGCCGCTGGCGAGAAAGTATTGTAATCGAGAAAAAATAATGGGAATGAAATATTATGTTTTTAAGACTTTATATGACATTTGTATCAGGAAAAACAATGTCACACAATTCCGTCGGTCTGTGTCTAGGTCTGCCCGCTAATCCTTGGCTCTTGGCTCGTTGATAACTTGGGAAGCACCCCTTGGATTTTGATGACATTATCACACAAGGTTACTACTACAGCAATGACGAAAAACCTTTTTGGTGCGGTTGAAAGTTGGGCATTGGGGATAGAAGAGGGTTTATCTCAATCTTTTCACGATAGTATTTGCAGATGGTTCCAACCTCTCTGAGTCACAGTCTCCCCCATGACTGTCGTTCCGTCATTGCCAAGCTACCGAGTCTGAAGAGTGAATTCATCGAGGGGAGTGGTATGCGGGTGGGGTGGGGAGGAGCACCGTCAGATGGACGGTACTATCGGTAGGACAGGGAAAAACGTCTATGGACTGGTTCTATAGGCTTGTTTGATTGACTTGAGGCGTTTAATTTCTATTTTATATTATTATATTTATATGTTCGTATCTAACTTTTTTCTCAGAGGGTCTAACTTGTTCCGAACAGCAGCGTGGGAAGCCTCCTTCGGTGTCCTTTTGTGGCATCTTCAAAAGTATGTCACCTAGAATGTAATAGAAGAGGGACTTCCCAGTTCTTTTAATATATCTTATTGATTGGAGACCGAGCATTAGCTGTTCAATTAGCCTTAATAATTCTTCCTCTAATGAGACCTTTTGTGCTTACCGTTTTATCAAGATTAAGCCAAAGTAATCGCATTTCGAATAACAGATGATCATTGCGCGCTACACGGGATCACAAACCACATGAACACTGTTCATAAGAAAGGTCAGTAACAAAGGCGGAGATAATGTAAAAAATGTCCTTTTATTTTATTTAAACAACCGATACCAATTATAATATGTACCTAATAATTTATAGTCTTTAATTATCGAAGGTCATGGTATATCAAGCAATTCATATTATTATTCAAATGCCTCATAGAGAACTGACGTTTCGGTTGAGTTCCTGCGGTTTGCAAACTAGGTATCCAACTACGTAATCAGTATTTACCGTCAAATGAAAATGATTAGAGTTCATTAAAAAAGTCTTGAATGGGAGAAAAGACTTGTTTTTTTTCTGCACACAGCATGTTATTTGAACACATTATCCTGTCAGTCGTAAAAATGACAAGTTGAGTGTGCTTTGTTCCTATAGAGAGAATACAAAAATAGCATTAATCATGGGATAGTTTTGTCAGTTTCACAACATTTTTGATTTGACTGTCAGCCGTGGCAGTTTGTTGACTAAATGTTGCAAAATGTCAAAGTATTCTAGGGCTACTGCTATTTAGCATAAAAGCGCTGCACCGCTTAATCGCTTCACGTTGGCTGAACGCGCTCATTAATTGTAGTGTCGTCTATACAAGTGTCAGGTAAAATAAAAATAAAAAAAAATAGTTTAAGATTTTTTCTCGAGATTTGTGAGCTATAGATGCGGTACAGCTTGAAATTTGAGTTATTTTCGGCGCCGAAAACCTTGCTTATAGATCCCCGATACTCATTCTGTAGCATTTAGTAAATATAGTTAGTACTATTTTGAGCACATAAAAACCGTTATAAAATTAACTATTTACAGAACAATGTACTATCTTAATGATCACGTAAAATTTGCAATACATTTTTTATACTTACAACACAGCGTAAAGGAAATTTACATGATCTTGCCGTAAGAGGAGATCTGGTAATAATTCCATTGGTAATCTACTAAAACGAAAGGTAAACATTGAGAATATTTGCAAACCGTCAGACGTCTACTGACTGTACATTTCCTTTATAAATTTTGAGCCAGTTTCTAAGGTGCATGGTAAATGATTATCTAAAGCTTCCAACGCATTTGGAAATAGTCGAATCATACTAAGAAAAAAAATATTTAAATAGATTGTCGCAGAACTTCTCACCTAATATCTATTTAAAATTTTAGGTACACGAAAATTCTAAGCGTCATTGCTGTCAAATTTCAAAATTTTTAGCCGTGCCTTAATGTGACTAGAAAGTTATAAAGATGGCGTCACGCAAATTGACTCTGTACCTTCCACGCTGTTATCACTTTGTAAAGGATTAAGTTCGGCACAAATCATTCCTTCTTAGAAAAAAGTTAGTTACGAACATGTATAACAAAAAATTAAATGACACTTCCTCTTCTCCTGAGATAAACTTCTGGCGATCATGATCGTTTTGCTATCACTAATCCAGCGATATTGACTTTTACAACATACAGTGCATAACAGCACGGAAGCGCATGACGCACGACCACGGCGTAAGTATCGATATGCGACTGTTGGAGATTTTGCACGTTTTAAGGGTAAATGTACGGAGGCATTAATTATGATGAGCAAAATATGTCTAATAGGTGCGTAAAATCACTAGATACGATCTCCTCCACCCCTGCAACCCCTAACCCTCGATTTTCAACCCCTACAATTTTAACACGAATTTTGAGCGATCTTTATTATTTTTATTATTATTTTTTATTTTTGGCTTTTTCCTCTGTACAAAGCAATTTTTTTTAAAAGACTGTCATTGGTATGATAGTAGCGTTGCTTCATAATTTGATGGGTACCTGAGGCAGTACTTTCCAAGTGAAAATGCTAATTGGACTGAGAAAAGGTTATATCGATTTTGAAACTTTTCCAGATTTCACTGTATTTACTTTATTTATTATTCCAATACCTACTGGTCCCGCTCTATTACGCAATGTGCTCTCTGCTCGAAGTGCCTAGAACATTTATTATAAATATTTTATGAAGCCACTTATGATTTTTATGGTAAGACAAACATTTTCAAAGATGACTGATCTGTTTGCTCTTGCGAATTATTACTTAAATTATTTATTGATAATAATTATTGCAATATTACGACATATTTTATTACGTAGTAAAGAAGATAAGGGATTATAAAACGGTCTTATCAACGAGTTGAGTACCTCTCCCACTTTAAAAACTAGCTTTTGGTCAACTTGATCAAGGGTATTGATAATAAAAATCTAAGCATTTTCGAAATGTCAGAAGTTTCCCAAGACTTTCATTTCTCAGATTTTTATATTTTTATAAGTGCACGGTGTTTCCAAAACAGAAAGTTCGTGGTTTTTGTCGAGCTGTGGTAGAATAAATAAAAAAAGAAAATACATTTTTAAAAACAACCTTTTATTTAGCTGATAATAAACGAACTAAAAATTATTTTTTTAATAATAAACGATAATCAATTTTCATCTCACATTTTCAAAGTAAACTATGATATACCCTTGTTCCATCCTGCTGTCAAAACGTGTTACGCATTTATTTGAACATTTGAGGTGGAGTAGCTTCACTTTAGTTTAAATACTTTCAATCGGAAAAAATATTTTTCTATGGGTAGTTAGTTTTATTGTCAGTTAAATAGAAGTTTGTTTTTAAAAAAAGTATTTTTTTGTTGTATTTATTTTTTACTTTTTAGTATTTATCGTGTCAAATAACTAGTTTGGTAATTGCTATACAATTTTCATACATTCTATTAATAGGACTCCATAAAACTGCTTACTTTATGTGTATTACAAAATTTAGATAAATACAAATCATGTAATGCTAAATCGATGTTTTGCGGGGATCGCTATATCGAATTTAGAATGATGGTATTTGCTTATTGTTTCTCTCATCAAGACGTTTCATTTGATATCCATATCATAGGGCTTACTATGGAAATGATTAATCGCCATTTTGTAGCATTCGCCACATTGAATTCAAAATGGCGGCAGTTGATTCACTTTGTATTGTCTCGCAAACCAATCGTGTGTACAACATTTCAGCGTAATTGGTCAAGATTATTTGGTTCGAAATTCACTTCCAAAATTTGTCCGACACATACTAGCAAACCAAAAGGGCAAGTTAAATAAAAGCTTGTAATAAAAATAGGAAAATCCCGCTTTCCAGGGTGTAGGCTTAGCAAATGCGGTTTTTTTTTGGATCACATTAGGTTTAAAATCGTATTACGGATTTTTCCCAATTTGCATGATAAATAACAGGTTATTTGGACAATTATTTGAATTCTGATGTCACTGTATTCTACCAGTTGGGCTAAGGGATTATTTTTTCCTCAATAGTGGGAGTACCAAGTAGGACCTTGCGAAGGCATTGACATTGGAGACCAACTGTGGGTATCAAGATACATCCTACAAAGGGTAGCAGAAGATTTTGGTGTAATCGTCACATTTGATCCCAAACCAATGGAAGGAGACTGGAATGGTGCCGGAGCTCATACGAACTTCTCCACCAAAGCCATGAGAGAAGAAGGAGGAATTATGTAAGGATAGAAATAAATTCTATTATTTTAATTGTATTTTTATCGATTGTGTTTATCTAAGCTCTTCACCATGATGTGGCCGCCTTCTTGGCATGCTAGACAAGCCAAGATTTTTCTTCTAACTCGAAGCCTTATAAATCGGCAACTGGTTGGTATGACCACTATGTTGTTTATAGTGCATCAAAAACAAGGAAAAACTTACGTATATTTGAGGATTTATCTACTTAGACAAAATTCCCCTTTTATATAAGTGGACTACGACAATCAATGCCCGAGGGTACCTAATCAAAATATGCATTAGATATGCGCCTAAAAGGGATGGAGATTCTTTGAGGCAGTAGCAGAACCGAAAGTAGATTTCTAAATCAGTTTTTTGTGTTCTCATTCTCCTTTATTAAATGGAAATAATGTCTACGCCAGTGACTTTTTTAAAACATGTTTTGCATTTTTAAATACGGTATTCATTTTTACCTGAATCACCATTCTCGATAATTTTTTGTCAGTTTGTAAAATGCGTATAAAGGACTTCAATCCGTTCTACTTTTAAAATATCTGAAGTTAAAGAAATTTGATATGCGTACTTATGACTCTGGAAATATTGCCTACTGTCGATTCAGAGAGTTTCGTCTAAAAAAATTGAAAATATCACTATTAAAAGAAATATGAACTTGAATATACTATATCTTAGTAACGAACCCGTAAAATACATAAGTTTGTATGATTTTTTTTTTCAGTTTGATGAGGACTATCAGATACTATATTATGAATCTGAATATACTTTTACATAAAAAACGAATCTTTAAAAGGATTTTAAACAAGAAAATGAGAAAATCAGAAGCGATCAAAATTAATGGCTATATTTTTTCTTATGCAATATTTGAAACGAATTCCACTAAAAATCGCAAAATTCCATCTAGTGGTTGACTATCTCCAGGTAGAATACGTTAATCAATCTAATAATAATATAGTTTTCTTCCGTCCGACCAGGATGCTTCATGCTATTTGGTAACTCCTCAGCATGGTGTAGGCTTGGTCTCGGTGGACAAAGAACGAAAGCTGAACAACTCTTCTCTATCCAGAGTATAACGTTTATCGAAATAAGACAGCACAAAGTGCCATCTATTACCAGAATCGACTACCGCGAGAGTGAAAACAGCAAGCAGTCTGTTGGAACTGTATCCCAGTTAGAATTCTAAGCCGGGTTTCCACTGTGGCCGCTGGATGCCGTTAATCAATGCCAAAACTAATTGCGCATTTCGGCACATCTTACTTTATGCATCGATTTTAAAAGAATAGACACTCATCTTAACATTTAACGCCTACTATCCATTGGATGAGCTATTATAATCTCTTTAAGTATAATACTCATTTGTAGGCCATTTAGATCCAATCATGTGCAATCGAACAAAACATGCACAATGCACATGCACGTTTACAGAGTCAAGGTTGAGTATCGCGTGCCAACTTTTTGATAACAAGTCATGCGGTAGAAAGAATAGGCATCCTCTTGTTAACATGAATTATTCGGTGTTCGACAGACAATTTTCCATGTGCGTGACAAATATCCTCCAAACTGGTTTTATTTTATTCAACATAGAGGAAGCCAATGCAGTAACTTTAAGGAAATTAGTGGTAATAACTAAGTTGCTCATTTCTAGCTACTTTTTGATATATGTATACAGGGTGTTCCAGGAAAGCATAGCATTATTTCTAAAGTAGAAAGTACATACAGTCAAAATAACAAAATAAGTTTTTACAAATGTCTAAAAAGTCCCATTACCAAGATACAGGGTGTTGTAAGTTTCTACGCCACCAATGACACAGAATAAAGACAAAACATGAACATTGTTCAAATACGAGTTGAATTTTTTTATACTGATTTTACATCAAATATTGAAACTAGCTTTTCCCCAAGAGTAGTCTGACTAAAATTTCCCAAAGAAGGCGATTCATGTAAAATTTGAATACCTTACTTAAACATGCACTAGATTTTGTAGGGGTAAAAATTTACCAATTACTACGCCACTGGTGTATTCTCAGGCTCGAAGATTTTCGATGTTAGAACTACATCTAAAAAAATTTTAAGTCAACATCCAAATCCACTGTGAAATTATAATTCTCACCCTGTAATCATGGTAAGTTGGCATTCAGGAACCTTGTTTATATAAACTTTTAGTGTTGTTTTTTTTTGAATAATTTATGCGCTTGAAATATTGCCACGTTTTTCTTGAACGCTTTGGATATTCTATGATTCTTCGATTAAGCAATCCTACTTATTCACTTTTCTTTTAATATGTACCTCTAGTTTTCCTTCAAGAATATTAGGTTAGATCCGCTTCTGATAAAATGCTACAGAACCACGTGAATATTTCAATACCGATTTGTTAATATGTGACAAGCTTTCTGCTTTTTCCCTTTATGGGAGTGTATTTGCTTGATTTGATTGTTGGAAACAGCATTATTACTTTTATAGGTCTAATAATAACAATAATATAGCTAAATGGAACATACGAAGGCGGAGTTAGTATAACAGACAACATCCTTATTATAATACGGGGAACTCTAATGGTGGGACTATTTAGGCTGATTAAAATAGACAGATCCAACTGAATTAAATTGATATGGAAAAAACCTAACTTTCCGTAACATCACGCACACATGTATATTTTTATAAAATGATAGTAACACCTATCAGCAATTATTGTCTTTTTGTCCATTTTGGCTGATTATAGATAACATAGGATATATTCTATGTAACTATGCATGTTACAGAGTACGACGCTTCGGGTCGTTATTCTCTCTACTCTTACGCCGCGAGCTATAGTCGCTCTCTTTACGCCCACAAAAACTTTTTTTTCACTTCCAATTAGAGAAATCACCATTTGTGGCCGTAATTTCCCCTTCCCTGGTTAATAATGATAATTAAGACCATGAAGCCTATATACCAGGAGAACCGGCGAAATGAGAAAAAACGACCCCAAAACTTGCCGCCTGACGGCGCGGCGGTCACAGGGAGTACCAGCATGCGGAGGATTACTCAAGTTAAAGTACAAGATCTGGCTATTTTTTATTTCCGTTCATTTAAATTTTATAGAAATTTATTTTGCGACGTTAATAGAAAATACAAATCAGCGCCTAGATGTGAGGCATTGCAAAAATGTTGATGTGTGATGCGTCATTCCTAATTTTTCTATGATGTGGCTTAATTGCACATAACGCGGGCGCGGTCGCGATTTCCCGTAATGCTCCTCAAAATGTTTGAAAACACAAAAAACATCATATAAATGACCCGTCGGGTACAACTAAAAAATATACTTCACTGGCAGCATATTCAGTAATAATATCCTCACATAGCAAATATCACTGATTTTATACAAATGCAGCCCAATACACATAATCATCCAGATGCGATATTGCTACTCAACCAACTTTCTTTGTTTTACATCTTCTCAGAGATGAACACTACAGACTACTCGGATTCACAAAACATATATAGTCAACGCCAAACAAAGTGGCGTGCACGTCATCAAGGTGGGTGTGTTGAAAAATTTACATTGTTGCCAAACTTTTTGTAAAATAATAAAATTTATTATTTACATATTTAGGTTTATAAGCAATATTAACCTCAAATGAGAACAAAAATAATAGTATAATAAAATTATAGATCTGTACTTGCATAATCATTAAGTATGACAATTATTGATCAGATGACACTATGAAACTACCATATTTAATTGATAGCTTAAAGGTACTGAATAAAAATCCAAATGGGGTCCTCCAAATTTTATGCATGGTATTTATTTTACAGAATTCATACAGAAAAATGCATTCTAAAATTAGGTAAGCTACTGGTGTAAGCTTTTTCTGTACAATAAAGTTAGTCGGAGTTTCTTTCTTCAGCGCTGTCTGAATCTGAATCTTCATCACTCTCAAAGTTGATTATTAAAGGTTCGATGTCTGGTCGATCAAAAATTCGTTCTCTTTCATACCATTTAAAAATTTCTTGCTCAGTATGTCGAACACTATTTTTCCACATGTCTGGGGTAACCGTTTGTAGAGCCTCGTTCCACATATCCAAACAGTCTTTTTCACTGTTACCATCTCTACCAATATGTCTTTTATAGTAACCTTTTGCTATGCCCCAAATTAACTCAATAGGGTTAAATATACAATGGTAAGGAGGCAGACGAAGAACTTTGTGCCCATGTTGTTCCGCCAATTCATCAATCACGTATATTTTAGGTGGTTTGTTTCTAAAAAAGCAGTTATTTTAAGAATAGGAATAAACAAAAGAAATATAAACTGTCGACCAAAATATATATAATTAAGAAGCATTATGTACCGAGCAACAATACTCAATAGCTCTGTTTTAAACATTGTATTTAAAATGGTATGTTTTGATTTGTCAACCAGTCTTGGATATTTTTTTTTGTCCATGCATTGTTGGGCACTTTGTTCAATATTATGCTGTGATAAGGGGCGTTATCCAGTATAATCATAGATGGACTCTCCAATTTTTCTAATAACTGATGTTGAAACCATTTCAAAAAATTGTCCTGGTTCATCTCTCCATGGTAATCGCTCAATTTTGTTTTCGAAGAAAATATCGCTTCACTACCCTCAATAAACCCATTTTCATTTCCAGCATGTAATATAATGTATCTAAAATATATTAGTTTTAAATTTTATAGTGCAAATTGTGTAAAAGTACATACCTTTTACCATCTGTTTTAATAGCTTTCACGCTTTTTTGGTTTCCATTTTGCCAAGAGCGACCTATGGTCCCATTTTGAAATATCCAAGTTTCATCGAGGAAGACAAACTGGTATAAGGCCTCAACCTTGGCTTGATTGTATTGCCTTAGAAATTCCACCCTTTTCAAAGCTATACTTGGTAGTTCCATGAGCCCTCGTCGCGGATTGTCCTTAAGCCACTTAAATCCAAGATCTCTAAGCAACCGCCTTAAAGACGTGGCACTACCATCAAATAATGCCCTATCTCTTAATCGAGACCATAAAGTTTGTATCGTAACTTGTTCTTCTGAAACCATGTGTAATATGACATTATAATTTAGTTAACAAATTAATGCAAATTTCTGATAAGTTATTATAATAAGATCTTACTTTTGTGATACATATTATAGATCACTTCTCGAATGGCACTTGTATCCAATGTCGCTGTGTTGGTTACACGTTTAACATAACTCCGCTTTTTCTTGGGCGATTCTAAATTTGCATCACTTTTCACACCCTCGGAAATACGACTAACTGTCCTTAAACTAATTTTTAAAGCAGCAGCAACACGCTACAAAAAATGAAATAAAATTTCACTATTATTAATATACATTACATATAATTATTAGTAACCTACCTCTTGAACAGCATTTAAAGGCAACAAAGGCCCGTTGTTGTCCCTTTCTTGCTCAAAGTAGTGCATTAACGAGGCCACGAGTTCCTTACACCGACTATTTAACTGTTTGGGCATCTTTATATACCAAAATTGCCTTTATCTACTCGTAAAATGAATAATTTTGTTTTGAAACAAACAGTTGTTGATTTACAGTATGCGGGGCCAAAGGATTTATAAAGATTTGAAATGCCACAAATTGATTCAGTGTCAAAATTAATACAAATGTCAGTTCCCAGTTTAAATAAGTTTCAAGGTGACAATGTGTCAACGCTGCGAAATCGGTTTAGTGCGTTTACATGTCGATAAGTGATTGGAGCGTTTGCAAAACATTTTATTTCGCATAATGCGTCTAAATTTATCAGAAAGCAACTTATGTGATATTTTAATAACAATGTTTATATGACTATTAACCATAATAAGAGAGTAATGACCATTTTACAATTTATATATCACATTAATATGAAACTGCAATAGAGCAATTGTTTGTGATAGAAACCTAGGCATTAGGTCGGGGAATTTTTATCGTGATGACGTGCACGCCACTTTGTTTGGCGTTGACTATACTTGCTTTCTGCTACCAACAATGCGTGTAGTTGAGTCATTCCTCCATAGATAGCAAACGTGGAATGAACTATTTGCACCCTAAGAACTACCTAGTTTGCAAGATAACATTTCGTGTTTTTTTGACGTTTGATAGGTTTTTTGACATAATACCCGTGCAGGTCTTAGACTATAATCAAATCCAAGCGAATAACCAAAATTTCTGTGTTATGTACGCGGTTATATGGTTTAAGATGACACACGGGTTGAAGACGACAGTTACTCGAATCGCTTGAACGCTTTGGTTTTACCGCGGTTTTGTTGTAGGTTGTTTATTGTAGAAAAGCGCGTATATAATTTCTGATTATTTTTATTATCACTTAATAACCGGTGCTTTTTCGTCTACAACAGTGTATGGAAAGTTTAAAAAAGAAACCTTTCATAATATTAATGCGAGAGATATTGTTTTTTCAGAAAATAATTTTTAATGAAGGAACCATATGGCTTTGTAGCTATGATAACTTTCAATTCTCTAAGCTTTTCCGCATGTCAAAGAAAACATTTATTGATTTAGCAGAAATGATAGAAAAAGGAGATGAAAAAAGATATTAGTAAAACCGTATATAATTATATATATATATATATATATATATATATATATATATATATATATATATATATATATATTATAGGTAGACATTATCCAGTGAGTTCATATGGCCATATTTTAATATTATTGTGGTATATGGCTACACAGGATACTTTGTTAGGCCTAGGAACTAGATTTAAAGTGTCCCCAACAACAGTAATGAGTATAACTAATAAGGTGCGCTACTTTATGCTACAACTGAATTCAGCCTGTTTCAAGTTTCCCAAAAATTAAGTTGAAGTACAACAAAAATATCCAATACCCATATAACAGTTGATTCATGACGTCACGGATCTTATAACCAAACTGATAACCACACTCTCTTGAACGTATCGGTAAATACCAATCGAAAATGGTAAATACCATTTTCATCTGGTTATTCGCTTGAATTTGATTTATTAGGGAAGTGTTCATATGGCGAATCTGTCAAAGCACAGCGTTGCCAGATGAGTCGGATAGAATTTCTCCAGAACAAGCACAAAAATCCCCCAGAATTGCTACTTCAAAAAATCTCAGTTGATCAATGGAAAAGGATAGGTTTGGTTCTAAACACCACTGTTACTCCAGGCGTCAAGTTGCGCGGTCGTTCTACTTCCCACGCTTACTGGCGGCGAAGTATTGTAATCGTGAAAATTTTCGAAAATGAGATATATTTTTTGGATATCATTTGACATGTACTTGACAAAAAACCATTTCATTTCCGTCGGTCTGTCTGTCTGTCGGTCTATCCGATAATATAACTACTATATACCAAATAAAAAATATTTATAATTCTCCTCCTTTTGCGGATTTTGCATATTTTCCTACTTTTTGTTATACACCTTTCTCCGCACGATCATTTTCTTTTTGTAGATTCTTTGGGCTTGAAGTACCACAGCAAGTGGCTATAACCGGCCGCGTTGTTGTGGACTTCGTGTGCTGTTTTTTCCTCTCCATCTTCGTTTCCTCAGGCTACACCCGTATCCGGATGTGTGGGCTTGTGTATCTACTTTATCGCTTACCTATCCTATTTTGTGCTCGAATCCACTTTCCTCCTTTTTGCGGATTTTGCCCATTATTTTTCTACTTTTTGTTTTATATATACAGGGTGACTTTGAAGTTGAGTCATTAATTTTCAGATAATGATTGTAGAAGGAAGATAAACCAAAATATGTGTGTAAAAATAAAAAAAAAAATAAAAAAAAATTACCTTGTTTTATAAAGTATCCTCCCGACAAGTATTTCAGTGCGGACCTGTATTTGATCGTGAGGTCTTGGAGCACCGGCATGCCGTCCATATGTGAGGTCTTAAGTCAAATGATTCACGAACCCGTTGTACTACATTAACAAAGGCACGAGGGGTTGGTTGCACTCGATTGGGAAACCGATCCGCATAAACATGTGCCATTTTTTATTTCGTTTGAGCCACGCAACAGACACCACTATCCACTACCGACTGACACTGACTGTATACAACTGAATGAAATAATTGTAAAAACATCGTTCCAAATTCTTTCGCTTTTTTGTTTCCGATGCGATGAACCGATAAGGCGAATTATATCCGTAGTCGCCAAACACGAGCACATAATATTATTATTGAGACAGGGCGGTACTCAAACTTCCAAAGGGCTATAACTTTGTTACTTTAATTTTACCAGAAAAATGGTAAAGGAAAGAAACATTTCTTTTGATCAGATCTACTCACTGTTAAAATAAATGACTCAACTTCGAAGTATATGAACCATCTTATAAAATCGAATATAATGATATATAGCGTAGTGGTGAGAAATCTATACATACCCCGTTTGACAAGGTCATTATTGTTCTCGCACATTATATTCCTCGGCGCTATGCTTGCTCAATATAATAAATTAATTCTCAACATCGATAAGTAATATACTATTATTTGTTGCAGTGAAATTGAGAAGGCTATTGACAAGTTGAGCAGGAACCACCTGCGGCACATCCAGGCCTACGATCCTAAACAAGGCAAAGACAACGAACGTCGCCTTACTGGAAGACACGAAACCTCATCTATTCACGATTTCAGTGCAGGTCAGTTTTCAAAAATTCATGCAACTAACAAGTTTACCTCACGAATTTCTAATGAAGTCAGCATATTTAAAGTGCAATAGCTGCAAAACCTTTTTGGATTTTTTATATCATAGGTACAAAATATAATAAACTGAGCATTTCTCGACATTTAAATCTATTTGAATAGTGTAATAGACCCTTTAAAAAAATGGTAAATGGACCCATTACTTTCTATTCGCGAAACTTTTGTGATTTACCCCCAAAAAAATCCCTAACAAAAATCCCTCAAATTTGGGGGAAATCCCCCAACATGGCAACCCTGCCAAAGCAACACTGCAACTCCAGGCATGAACTTACGGGATCCTTTTCACAGCTCGAACAGCATTGCCGTAGTGTCTCCATTGTGATATTACTTGAAAAATGAAATGTATCAAAAGAACATGGAAAAAGCCAGAATTGTAATCTAACTTTTGTTTCGTCTGACAGGTGTTGCGAATCGTGGAGCTAGCATAAGAATTCCCAGAGGCTGTGCCGAAGAAAAGAAAGGATACCTTGAAGACAGGCGTCCAGCTTCGAATTGCGATCCATACTCGGTCTGTGAAGCAATAGTCAGGACGTGTATTCTTGACGAATAATTTGGGAAAAAACATGAAAAAACCGCGTCTCTTGGCACCACAACAACTCACAAACACGTTTACTTGGAGTAAAAAATAAATAGGATATAATGTAATTTTCAATCGGTGAATGCTGAAGTGTCAATTTTTGTCTAGTCAAACAATTTCAAATAGTGACAAATATTACGTTTTGGGGTGCAAGTTGCAGGTACAAATGTCAAAATGACATAACCTATTAGGATTAATGCGCTTTAAAATATTTTCGCTTCTCCATCCTGATTGAAAAATTACAGTATTCAAAGTTCCTGGGGCCTTGAAGGTATTTTGATGACGTGGAATTTTCGTTCACCAAGTGAACAAAAGCTTTAATTTTAGGACAAAATGATGCACTCTTTATAGCTTGTTACATTTCAGTTTAGTATATGAGCAAAGTTTATTTACATTGGCTGTTGATTATATAATGATTTCAGTATATTCATAATTTTCTACCTTTAATGAGGATAAAACTATATGAATTATGTTGTTATACTCTTAAGATTATAATTTTTTGAGTCAGGGTATGTTTTTACAACAAAAAGCATCTAACATTTATTGACAGAGACATGTGGCACTTTTGACCTGCATAACTGATAATCTTTAGGTTAAAGGGTCCCATTATGTTGTCAAACGATTTCATATGGACTTTATGTGACTTCCAATGCATCGTTAATGCAGTTCAATGAAAATATCGCATCTTGATGTGTATACTAAGTTGTAAATCCAAGATATCATGAATTTGGAGCATGCTACTGATACCACTTTCATTACTGCGATATGATTCCAGCAAAACGTATTGACATAGTGATTAAATAATCTCAATAATTATGTATTACATGTACTCACGTCCTGATAAGGTATTCACATGAAGTATTGTGAAAATAATCCAAAACATACCCTTTCATTATAAAGAGTTATGTAAATATATCATTGCACAAAGTATGTAGATGTATAACGAAAATAAATATAATGTAAACATTATTTTATGAATGTACCATCCTTTTGCATTTGAGATTTTATGTTATAAATATGAGGTAACTCAGAAAGACAATTTGATAATCCTTAAATACGTTTGAAGAATAGCAAAATCGATTTTCAACGAAATTTTAATTTCTCGGCCTAAATGTTCATTATGAAGACGGCTTTTTTATATACATTTTTTAGTATCTACATAAAGTGGAATAGTCATATTTCCTTTCTGCACTCTACTAAAAACACAAAATGAACGTTAGATGTATATTCTTGATATGTTGTGTGGATATATGTAATTGTTTTGTTTTTACTTAGAATGAAACATATCCAGGGCACCTGAAGAACCCTAACCTTGAAAATAAAAAAACGATTTCACTCAGTTGCTAGATCCTATTTCGACTGAGGCTATTTTCTAAATGTATTAACCATTTTTCAATATTGTATCATTTTTAAGGGAATATATATGTTCTGTTTTCGAATCACCTGCTTTTTATTTATTTCAGTAGCCCGACCACAGTTTTCATTTCTTCTACTGATATCTCAGTGGAATTTGTTCGGCAGGGTTCTCTACCATGATGCCACTACTTTTTCTGAGGCTGCTAGATAGGCACAGGCCCATCCAACATACTGCTACATCTCGATTTTTCTACGGCTCCCCAGTTCTAGTACCATACAGGGTGTGCCGAGGGTATGGAGTCACCAAAATTCCTCAGGAACTAAGGGTGCTAGAAAAAACTTTAAATATAAACGTTTCAGGAGATTAAATGGCGCATCTAGTGGTGACTTTAGATTTGACGTTGACATTCACCTTCAATGGTCTAGGGCAAGTTGAAAGCTAAGAAAATTTCATTTTAAACGGTACACATATCATTTGGGATAAAATTACATCTAGAGGTTATTTCAAGGTCAGCCGTTGCTCTCTCATGGAATGTTGTGAAGCAGCGGATACATTGAAAAAAAATAATATTAAAGAATAACTTTTAATGCTATGATGGGTGGCTAAGGGCCGTATCGTCAGTAGTTCCTACAATTGTAGGACGCCTTTATGGCCTACTTGATTTTCATGGTCTTTTCAGAAAGGCTGGGATATTTCTAGTTCTACTATTCCGTGTCAGCATCAGCACTCTCCTATTGTAAGCGTATGTTTTCTTTTTGAATGGAAGGAAATTTCAGGGTGTATAACAGCTGATATAAATCAAAAGCTTGAACAATTTGATGCAAATAGATATTTGTAACATAACGTCAAAATAGAGCGCTGACACGGGACAGTAAAAACTATGAAAATCAAGGATGCCATAAAGGCGTCCTACAATTGTAGGAACGACTGACGATACGGCTCTAAGACCTTGAGGGTCAATTCAAGGTGAAATTTTCACACGGAAATCCTCAATTTTGGTCCTAGAGCTGGTCATGGAGAAACATTTCATTTTTAAAGGTTTAATTAACGGAGGTAAAATCACACCTAGAGATTATTTCAAGGTGGATTAGACTGAAGCGACTGATAATCTTGAATTTACTTTCAAGGTCATAGCCAAGGTCAGAATGCAGGTCACTATCAGACGTGCCGTTGGGGTCCTGCCATTATCTCATTAAGCGTTCCTTTTTAATATTCTTCTTTTTACAGCTATCCCCTGTTTTACAAAATTCCATAAAACCACAATTAACCTTGAAATAACATCTAGATGTAATTTTAGCTCCCATGATATTCATATCGTGAAAAAAGAAGATTTTTCGACTTTATATTTCTGCAATAAAAAATGGTGATTCTCATTTAAAAAATCAATTTGCCCTTGAAACCATTAGATGCGCCATTCGATTTCCTAAAACTTTTGTTTTTTTTAGCACCCTTAGTTACACCTATCTATAACTTGCAACAATAACTCATTTGTTTTTCGAGATACAGACAAGAAATTTGGGCATATGGAAGTAAAGTGCCTAATAAAGGGAATTACTATTCGATTTTTTTCAAAAAAAGTTTTGTAAAATATATTATTGATTCAAAATTTTAGATTCTCTGCGATTCTCCAGAGCATCCATTTCTCTAGCATGTGGTTTTCGTTACGTAGCTGTATCTTCAAACATCACTTGTGCAGTTTGTAAAAGCGAAAAGCATTTTAAGCCTTCTAACGAAGCGCCAAAATGAAATCGGCTGTCTACAGTATTCCATGGTATTCCACCTTCAGCTGCGGTAAAGAGACCCAGCGACCGGGTGCCACTTCTGGCGCAGCAGCAGCGAAAGCGGCAATACCGCCATCTAGTCGCCTAGTTCTGACGTTTGGTGTAGTGGTGTGTAGTTTGCGAACGAACCAGTTCAATCGAACCATTATTATGATGGAACTAAGTGAACTAGTTCATCATTCCATAAAAAACTCGTTCACTACGAACGAATCGTATTACGATCTCGATGATCCAATCGAACGATGAGTGAATGAACGAGATAGGAGAAAGAAAATGGAGCACAACCCTCAGCAGAAGGTTGTATCACTGGTTGCCAGGAAGTTATGAAAAATATGGTAATTGCTGTTAATTGCGAAGGCAGGAAAAATAATTAAAATTAACGTTTTCTATTAAAAACATTCATAATTGACTTAATCGGCCTCTAGTCTATTTGTACTGACAAGATCACCGTTCTAAAAAAGCCACTCGCATGGCACAGATGCCAGGTACAAACGTTTTTTAACCGACTCAACTAATCTGGAACATATTTTGCTCGTTCCTGGTACCACTTCAGGGGTTAAAGCGGTTCATGAAACTATTTATCCGTCAGGGATAAAAAACTTAAAAAATTAAAAAACCGACGAATTCTTTATCTTTCAGACTAGGTAGTTTTTAGTGTGCAAATAGTTCGTGAAAGGACGAAATCCGCATATCTAGGGCTGCCTAGGTTTGTATTATTATATTGAAACCGCGTTCTGAACTGGTGAAATCAAAAAACAAAACTTTAGGCATAAGCAACCAAGAAAAGTTTGTATAACAGGTTGTCAGTCTAGCAGAAGGTCAAACGCACTTTAGACGTTATTGTCGCTTTAAATGTCAGCGATGCCCTTCAAGGCGCTGATGCCGGATATACCCCGAAATGATCAAAAGTATGATCATGTCATTCGACTAGATTTCTTCATCATGCACAAAAAATCTATTTAATGATATCTAGATAAACAGAAACAGAAGCTTCACTATGGAAACAACAATTATTGTAGTGTCTTAATAGTGGGAAACTGGTAAAGGAGATTATTTGGGGAAAATACAGAAAGCAGGACTTAACGCTTAAAAAAATGATCACTTTCCGGAAGGAGATCATCTGACAACCCTGATCAGAGGTATGTACAAATATTATTTATAAAAAATCTTGGGAACCGGTGAAAACAAAAAACAAAAGTGCATCCTACACACTTTGAGATTATTAGAAAACGTTTAAATCTCATAGCTACTATCTAAACAAAAATTTACGTTGATAATTTAAATTTGAAACGATACGAGGTGTTCCGATATTCCGAAGCGGTTACCCATCCAAATGGTAACCGCGTCCGACGCAGCTGAACTCCGACGATCATATGAAAGATTGAGAGGCGACGCTTTCACTGACATTTTCTTGTGTAAAATAGTTCGTTCGCGAACTAGTTCCTAAAACTAGTTCATTTTAGTAAGCGCGACCTATTTATTTAGTTCACCGAAATTAACCAAATTGGATCTTCACACTTTTGCTTTCTGAAGAAAAAAGAAGAAAGGATACTGAAGACACGCCCCTTGACCGACTTGGAAATGAATATCGCTGACGGTCATGTTGGAGTACAGAGGGGCCATGAATATATCGAGATTAGCAGTCGAATGAATTAAATAATGAAATTACTATCTGTTTTATTGAAATTGTTTATGCGAATACAATTTACTTTTTATGAAATACTCAGTAAAAATAGGCTAAAAAATTTACGTGAAACTATCATTCTTTCGAAAATATTAGCCTGTGGTGTTTTGGCGTCAATGTGATTCCACATTCTCCATTAAGGTCCACATTTTGGTCTTCTAGCGATATTCTGAAGTTTTGTAGAGTTGTGACGACAAAAAGGAACATAAGAGATCTTGCTAATTCATCACCTACACACATGCGTTTCCCTGGAAAATAAGGATACAAGTATGTAATTGAAACATTTTTACTTGATAAAAATGTATACAAAAGCCTTTTTTCGACTACAGCATATCTAATGCCGGATAGTCAAGCGCCGATGCAGCCTTGAGGTGGGGGTTGCTCGGCATTTCTTCTTTAGAGTACTGCACTTGAATCGGTAAGAAATATTTTCAATTCCCAATGTGGGTATATGGTGAAGAAATATATTCTATTATTCTATTTTTCACACAGAAGCAGCCGCGCGAGCAGAAGCCTAAGTGACAGTTTAAATAAATTTTGTTAATGTCTTTTTGAACTGCCTAAGGTTAGTCGAACTGGGAAAAGCCTCTTCATGTAGACTGTTTCACAATATAGAAACCCAAGACACAAAGGGGCGGTTGTAGGCAGGTCTGTTTGGCTGGCACAACGCACGACGACATCATGGAGGAAAACTCCGAGAAGAAAAGCCCGTTGGCGTAGCGGCAGAAGAGAACTAGATCGCCGACAGGCCGCCGGTTCAAAGTGGTCCTGGGAATGTCCGTCAGAGAAGAGCCATCTATCAGTCGGACAGCCCTCCTCTTAACACATCGACCAAGCATAATGTAATTGGGGCGGCAGCACCGCAATCATATAAGCAACTCTCGAAGCTAGGTCTTAACTAGGCCTTGTACAGAGTGAAGAGGTCATGTGGAGAAAGGTACTTCTTAGATATTAACAAATAGCCTAGCTTTTTCTCAGCAGCTGCCGCTATTGGCGAGATATGTTCAGTCCAGATCAAGTCCTCGGTGATCTGGACTCTGACCAGCCAAATGAATGGCTCTTTAGTAGCGGCCTTCGCAGGCAGCATCGGTGTCGTAGTGGTAGACGCTGCGGTCTCCTAAATAGTCGCCGTGCGCTGCGCGGGTTCGAATTCCGTCCCAAGAGGAATTTTTCTCTTGGCGATGGATGTTGTGATTGTCCGTAGGTGGTAGACGGTTTTTGACTGTCGTACGTGGAGGTACTACCCGGCAGATCTCGTAGGCGGGGGCAGAATGTGTGCATGTTGCATAGCCCCACGATACCCCATGGGTGTTTAGGCCTTAGGTAGTTGGAATATATGAAATAAAACCTCGGGATCTACCGAAACCAGATGAGCGCTAGAACGCTTTTTGTTCCCTGGGGTACACCCGCATTGAAGTGATGAGATGAAGAGGAGAGCCCGTCAACTACGACAGATATCTTGTGGCCAGAGATAAAGTCAGCCACCCAGCTGTAAAACTTCTCTGGGATGGCACAGGATGGAAGTTTGCATAAGGTAGCATGATCGAATACATTCGTGGTATGAAGAAAAACGACATGAGCCTCACCTTGAGACTGGATGAGTTTACTGCACAATTACGTGACGTAAGCTAGGAGGTCCTCTATGCATCGCTGGTACCGAAAACCATATTGCCTGTCACTAATCAATCCATACTCCAGAAGCTCTCGATTTATGCACCGTTCCATCATCTTATTTAGAACAGAAAGCAAAGCTATAGGCTTGTAGTTTTAAGGGTCGGTCTTAGCTCCTTTTTTATGGGTTTCCAGTTATCTGGGAAGGTACCGGATTCTTAAGATATTCAAAAGAGACGCGAAATAACTGGAGCGAGCTTCCCTGTACACTTCTTCAAAACACCGGCAGGAACCAAGTCCGGACCAGAAGCTTTGTTGATGTCGACCAACAAGAACACTCGTCTTAAGCCTGAACGTTGCTTCCGCATACTGTAGGGAACTTTGAATGGATGGCACTCGGGCGTTGGAGTTGGCAGCAAAAACCTTGGTAAGTTCTTCCACCTTATCCTTTGAGTCGATTACAATCGTTCCATCCTAGCACGTACATGGCGGAAGAATACTGTGAAAAGTTTATTTCAATCTCCTAGGCAAGCGTCCCGAAAGATCGACTACCATTGCGCATTTTTTTACATCGTGCTGGTCTTTGGGATTGCGAAACGCTTCATTATATTTGTTTCTGTACTCGACATCGGTTTGTCTGTGCTCTACAGTGGGGTTTTGTAAGAAGGTCCTGCTTGCTGACGAGCAGTGTCGCACGATTTGTTAAACTAGCCTTTGGGCCTTGGCTTAGGTACTTTCGGCGAATTATTTAGGAATTATGATGCATTGGAATAGACTATGGATTACTTTCCTGGAAATAGAGCAATTATTGGGAAAATATATGCATTATCAGAAATTTTGAGGGAACATTTCCTTTTATGGTACAGATTACTGGCAATGTTTAATCCCTCGCGTATGGAACCCCCACTCCGATTTCGACGTTTCCATTGGATGTTTACCTTTTGATGGCAAAAAATGCTTCTAGAATTTCTTTTCGAAGAAACCAAACTCACCAACTTGGAACGGCATAAAGTACTCATTCTTCTTAATCTGTCCATTGTCATCTAAGAACCTCCCAGGATCGAACTTTTCAGGTTCAGACCATACTTCCTCATTCATATGTATCGCCCATTGCAGAGGAACCAACATGGTACCTCTTGGTATAAAGTACCCTTCGATATCGGTGTCTGTTGTGGTACCATGTGGTATTCCGACCGGTACTACGGATCTTATTCTTTGCACCTCGCAGATTGAGGCTTCAACTAATGGAAGGTAAGGAATGTCTCGGAGTGCAGGTTGGCGATCTTGGAGTACTTCTTTGATTTCGTTTTTGATCTTGACTTGTACTTTTTGGTGCTTGGCTATATACAGAAAGTACCACCTGTAAAAAGTTGAACAATAGCTTTAACAGTGAGGTAAGTTCAAGTCAAACCATCATTGGTTGTCAGAACGGTACGTCGGACCTTAGGTCTCGTGTCATAATGTCAGTTTGTAAGCCTGTCAGATCTGGTAACCCAGAAACCAGACAATTTTAAGGGAAATAGAGAAGGAAAGGAGATCAGGAAAGAAGGGATCAATGAGGAAGAAAAGAATCTTCTATGACAGGGACCATTTAGGCATTGAAAAATGACTTGACAAATTTTGATACTGCATAAAAGTATTTATATAATAATTTTTGTAATGATTTGTACCTTATTGTAGTCAGAGTTGTGTCTAAGCCAGCACCAAAGAGATCTCCTAGAAGATGGTGAAACTGTTGATCGTTATAAAACTTTTCTTGGATTTCCGAGCTCTTACTATTTTTCTCCAACAAGAATTCTCTTATGAAATTGCTACTCTCATAATCGTTTAACGAAAGATTTTTCTTTTGAGCTGCTATTAAAGTTTTGTAGAGACCATGTTGCCTGTATTTACCATCTATGAGAAACTTCATCGTGTTTTTGAATTTTGGTATGAATCTGAAAAGCGACATTTTCAAGAATTTTATTCTCTGTAATACGAATTTATAAGTGTTCTGAGTCATCAATATTTCGTCTCTGTGCTGCCGGCATCCGCGCACATCTTGTCAACGAGGCGAACTGTTGGCAATGGCAAGGTATACATTTTAAGTGAATTTGACACCCTTAGTGGGTTTTATAAACAAAACAAAATTTAAGCACCTCTTGGAGTATACTCTATTTTAACTGATTGGCTGTCTCTTGACGCTCAACCGCTAATAACTAGAACACTATTAGACATTCCTGCTGTAAAATATAGGTAAACCTTAAAATCGGAAGAAAGTTCAGTGGTCCAGCCACCCCCATCATTTGTGTGCCATCTTCTTGGACTTGAAGCAACCACTTCCATGTTTCATTATTTCTGTCCCATGTTTTTCCACAGACGATCATATTCACTATGCTACCCAAACTATGACGCAAAGGCTCTAAAGGATCTATGGTTACTGTTTCGCTTTTACTTTGAATATACTGTAACACAGAACAATAAATAGCATTTTCAAGTTTACTTCATATATGTCTATATTCGATCTTAGCGCTCCAAATTACCTAAAGAAAGTGCCTGTTAGTCTCGTCTGTCTATCTTTACATCTAGGTATATGACATTTCAACATTTCAGTCAAGGGGTTTTCTTACCTCAACAAATTCTATTACATGCTCCATGATCATACCTTCCAGTTTTCCCTTGCTTTGTCCGGATCTAGCAGCCCCTAACTTTCTCAAGCAATTGAACACAAACTTCCTTTGGTCTTTCCATATCTCACCTTCAGTACAAATCAGTCCCCAGCCTTCCATTATTCCATGGGTCAAATATAGAGGGGCACGACCAGTGGTCGCGTCTTTTGAGAATGCAGTCTATCAATAAAATGTTTTGAGTAATACCATAAACATTAAGATTTTTGTGTTTCAGCGCTTATACATAAAACATGCAGAGTGAGACCCAAAACGGTTCGCATCGGAACCATTTTTTATTTCTTCATTCATGTATTTCCATTTTCAACTTACATACGTATTTAGTGTCTTGTATTAAATATTATTCAATAATGTTTTTGGATTAACTACCTTTATTATCTTTGGGTCGGTCAGCACTACTGTGTAGACGCTACCCAACCAAAGACCATATATGGTTCCGTATTTCTTGGATAGATTCGTCAGGGATATTTGAGGGTTTTTTGGGTCCAAAAACGGTAAATACCCTAAGAACGGTAAGCTCCATGGTCCTGGAGGTAGTTTGCAATTCCTCCAGTAGTGGAATGTGATCAGAAGTATGGCGATAGTTATTAAAATTACGAGTAGCATAGCTGAAAATAAAAGTGATGTATCAAACATGGAAATAGCAGAATTTTGATGCTCAGATTCTTCTTCTACGGGTGAAGTAGATAATAATGCACTTAGAAGTAAATCTTCAGACCATACGATGAAATCGATTTTATCAAAGAAACTCTACTGAGTCTTTTGCATATTTTTGGAACACGCAGCACACTTTGATATTAAAAACGCTAATCAAGTTATACATTTTTTAAATATGTGACTTGATATCTTTTCCAACCAACAGAACAAGATATGTATTTCCAATGGAACTCCACAAAAAAGCATACAAAGCCTGTGAAGTATAATGTCGGGGGTAAGTATACTGTATTTCAATAAAAAATTACATCCCCACACATCTATAATAAGCAGTTTTCCGAATTTGAATAACCATATTTTCGTAATTATCCAATTTCAAATAATTAATAGCAAGTTTTACCATCATATAATATTTGATGTGCGAGTAGTAGTGGTAGTACCTTGTGGGCCGTACGTCGGTACCACCTGTGTATTTTTAGCGCCACGCTTTCACATAAATAGAGAGACAGGACTGAAATTCTGGTTGTAACGATATGCAACTCATGTTACTCGTATTTGTAAATCTCGTTTGTAGGGTGCCTATTTTATAGATTCTGGTTTTGTTTCACTTTTGATGCTGCCAATGTTATTCATGTATTTCATATTAATTCATTCATTGAATCCTTTTTATAGGTATAAATTAATTGCAAAAGATTGTGGAAAGGAAGTGAATTGAACTTACCAAGATAGAGGACAGCAACGGCTTAGTAGTAGTAGACTTCGCAGGCAGTCTGAAGGTTTTGTCGAGATAAAATGACCACGCTGACCGCTAAATGAAATTTAATACGTATCCATTCCGAATATCATTTACATTATATTATCATTTCAATCAAGATAAATTTATCTCACATTTTGTACATCTGCATTTTCATACATATGAAGTATGGTCAAAGTAGCAATGACATTTTTTCTGGTTGTTTATTAATTCCACTTCAGAGCTTCAAAGTACTACCAAATTTCCTAGTGCAGCGGTAGAGCGGTACCTACTGTTATCCCGTGGTGAAGTGAAGAGCGGACAAGCGGGACAAGGTCAAGTGCATACAGTCAGACGTGAACCCAACAGACAATACAACGCAACTTTTAGTGCACAGTCACGCCAAAGTATCGCTATACGGGTTGCTAGACTAAGGCCCGTATCGTCAGTCGTCCCTACAATTGTAGGGTGCGTTTATGGCTTCCTTGATTGTCATACTCTTTTCTGTCCTTCAAAAATTTCTAGATTACACTCGTCCCGTGTCAGCGTCAGCGCTCTCCTAATGTTAAGATATTTTTTCCTTTTAAATTGTAGGAAATTTCAAGCTGATAAAACATGATATAACTCAAAAGCCAGCACAATTTGATGCAAATAGATGTTTGTGACATAACCTCAAAATAGAGCTCTGACACGGAGAAGTAGAAAACTATGACAATCAGGGAGGCCATAAACGCGCCCTACAATTGTAGGGACGACTGACGATACGGGCCTAAGACTACACACGAGAAAGTAACCGAATCCTTGTGATACCACCGAAATTATAATCTTAGCCGAAATCCGAAATCGACTCTTAGCAACAGGATTGCCAGATCAGAGGTTTTCCCGCTAAATCGTGTCTATCATCTAGTGGTAAGGTTTCCTATCCAGCGGCTAGTGGGAAATCCAGTGGATCGGGTTCTATAATTTATACGCTTTGTGTTTCATTGAAATCTCAATTGAACATTTTTTTCAATATTGATATCTTAAAAGTAAGCAATGTTCAATAAATATTTTCATTATTCTTCATAAATAGTTTTAGTTATTTCTTCTAAGACTGAAATTACAAATTGCACATAGACTGCTTACTTAATAGTAAAAAGCAACTAAAACTACGAGAGAAAATATAGTAATAGATTAATTTTAATTAATTTCCAAATATCTGAAACCAATCTGGTGGTTTCCACACTAAAATATGATTTTTGCTTTCGAATTCTGCTGGATTTCCGGTAGGTTTGGATTGATGTTTAGCGGGTTAACTAAACTTTTGAAAGCGTTGGCAGCCCGGCTTGGTAATACGTTTTTCTCTGCGTCAAATTTGATAAAAGTTAAAATATCCTGTACTAATAAATAAAGGCCGTCTGCCACGATACAGAATTTTGTTCATAATTTGGTACCCAATTTTTTGAGAAAATGCGTTACAATTCTGTCTGTCACATAAAGAAATTTTTGTAATAAATTTCGTACGAAATCGTTAACTGCCATTTATCACGTTAAAGTCATACTAACCACATTTTTCGTAGTAGCTTGCTACTGCATTACTTTGAACGACTAGAATATTGTAGAAAATGGAGCGTTCCCGTAATTCGCAGACCTATATAAAAAATTCATACTGTGTTGGGCGACCCCGCAGTTGAATACACTCCTGTATATGTCTAGGCATCGACAAAATGAGATGATCGATGTCTAGTTGTGGCACCTCATTCCAAGCAACTCGAACTTCGTGGATTAGTTGTGGCAGAGTCTGGGGCGGATGGTGCAAAGTGGATAGTGTCCTCCCCGTCATTTCCCACACATGTTCGATGGGATTTAAATCCGGTGAACGGGACGGCCACGGCAAAACATTAACACCTGCTTCTTGAAGAAAGTTCGTTCTATGACGAGCCGTATGGGGACGGGCGTTGTCTTGCTGAAAAAGGACGTATGGACGGCCCTCTAGATACGGCAGTAAAGTGGTTGGTAGGACATCACCAACATAACGCGCAACAGTCGTATTACCTTGAACAAAGAGAAGGGGTGATCACCTACCATAGGCAATAGCCTCCCAAACCATCACCTCAATAAAAAATCCAATAACACGCCGTTCTCCACGGCGGCGTCTTACCCTTCTACGACCATCGTGCGTACCTAGACAGAATCGCAATTCGTCGCTAAAGATGACATTATGCTTCCTAATGTTGCCGTTCTCTGCTACAGTTCACACGTTGACGGCAGTGGCCCGCAGTCAGAGGAAGCACTAACCGTGGACGGTATGAAAAAGTCCAAAGGCTCCCATGCGGCGATACCTTCTTCTATCCACACACGACACACACGCATTACCACAATTAACACGGCGGCCAATTTCGCGATAGGACAAATCAATATCTCGTTAGGCAATAATTCTACTCCTGTCGAAGTCGCTAACATGGTGATAATTTGGACGTCTTCGAACTTGAGGCATTTTGTTATGCTCAACACTAGCTAATGAAAGGGCAATAACTAAAAATATCTGCTCTCAGAAACTGCTTTCTTCACAAAACCTGAGAGATAACATTTCAACAAAGGTAAACAAAAACAAAGATAAAACGTTGACATTGTTGCCTCAGCTTGCTTAATGCTTTAATTATAGTCATTATGTTGACAAAAAAACAAGTTGAAGAAATTATTTTTTCTGGATGTAACAATTCTAATGTTACTGAGGGCGCGCTAGTGCATTTAAGGTTATGCGGGGAGCTGTGGAGTTCGAAGTATTAACTGATTTTCATTATATACATAAATAATATAAATTTATTTCATCGAAAGCATTTGGATATATTTACCACATAATAAGGCGATTAGTGTGTTTATTTTACATTTTATCTTTAAAATGGTGTATACTGTGCACTATTTCACAAGTATCAATCTCGCTTTGACGTCTATTGAGGTGAACAGCTGATCAGCAAGTGTGATTTTTCTGTTAGTCTGCGACGTTGGCAATAATGAATCGGGTGTAAATCTAGTAAAACTTGTTTGTTTTTTGTGTGCAAATGAACTTTTCTAAATAAAAGAGTTGTTAGCAACTACAAGATGCATATGTAACGTTCAAAAAACCAAAAATAAATGCGACTCTGACTACCTGAAGTTGACGAATCCGTCAGAATTATGTATCCTGTGCCGATATGGGGAATTTTGAGATATTACTAGGTGATCAGCTGTCATTCTACCATGATGGATACTTGTGAAATAGGGTATAGATAACTCAAAATGTTGACTGCTTTTAGCAAAAATTGAACATTAACTTTTAAAAAATCGGATTTCGAAATCATCCGCACCTCAATCGTTCTGTCATACACCAACACTTTTATAATTTTTCTCACAGTAATAAAAATTCGATAAAACCTGACTCCTTCCTTTCTGGTTACTCAAGACCTGAAAAATAAGGATAATCAATTTTGAAGAAAATCGTATAAGACGTTCAAAGCAAGAGGGTTTGTAGCAACTTCAATCGTTTAACTTGTTTGGACTGATAAATGAAGAATTCCGATTGCACAACTGTCTTTTTTCTGAGCAATTTAGATATTAGATACACAATAGTTCAATCGGGCAAAAAATGAGACGAAAATCATTTATAAAAACAAATGAAAATACGCGGTCTAACTTCTATGCGCTATTGCCAGGTCAAACCTGAATACCCCAATCCTTCGTTAACAATAAATTAATCAGCATGAGATAGCGCGAAGCGCCATCTATGGTATCGCACCAGAATCGAACCATTATTGTGGATCGCGCACCGCTGCTATTAGTCGAAACTGTCATGGATCTCAGTTCCCATTTAATAGAAGTGCCGCTAGATGGTTGATGATTCTGACTGAATGTAGAAGTGGTCTACTAGCCTGACCAAGAAAAGGAGACAGTCAACTACGGACAGCTGTTTCGTGCTTCTTAGCTACTCATCAGCATGGCTTGGTCTCTTATCTCTGGACGATTGTTTAACCAATAAATTATCTTTTTTCAGATATCCCCATCACCAAAACCGTGAGGAAATTCTACGATAAAAAGTCAGTTGCTACGCTTGGGAACGCTTAAATGTAATTTCAGATTTTCTTTCTGGATATTTACGGTACAACCCAACATTTAAGCCAACCACACTAACGCCAAAAAAGTGCATAGATTATCACTTTGTTGGACCTTATTACGGCAATGTCAATCACAGAATAAGAAATATGACGCTAAAATAGCATTTTAGATTTTTGTGGTAGCGTTTTACACTCAAAACAATATGATTTGTCAACTCAAAGAAATAAAAATAATAAAACTGCAAATTTCGAAATTATCTGTAGGTACCTCAATCATTTCGTAAGCACCCACAAAGTGTGTTTCAACGGTTTTTTAAATTTACCTTCTAGTAATCAAAATTCGATAAAACCTGGCACGAGCCAGCAGAAGTGGTGATGAAAACTGATGCTTTCATGCTTTAAACAACGTAAGGTTTAGAAACTTATATAATATAAAAGACAGGCCAGTTTCATAACAAATAACGAGTTTTTGGCTATTTCCAAATTTCAGTATGCACCCAGGTGTTTTTTCGCTCACTTTAGGATATTGGGATCATTCCGAACAAAAATGTCATCAGTAGCTTTTCACATATCGTAATTGGTGGTGGAATAAACTAAACAAGATGTCTTCGTCCATCCGACTAGAAAGACAGCCAACCATGGATAGCTATCCTCTATACGGGAGGTACGGTCTATCGAAATAAGATAGCGCAGAGCCCCATCTATCACAATTCCAGAAATAATATATTTGTATCGTGGTATAACATCTTTCTATGAATTTACAACTAGCAATCTACAGGCTATTGTGGCGAAATGCGGTTGAAGTGATTTGAATAAGTGCTTGAAAAAACGAGGTATGGGCGATTTTTTCCCGCCACTCTACCAATTTATAGAAACTAAAAAGGTTTTTCGTCCTTGCCATAGTAGTAACCTTGTATGAAAATTTCACCATAACCGAGCAGTACTTTCCAAGCTACTCAAGGGGCCAAGGATAGTCAGGCCGACAGACGGATAAACAGACAGACTGGCGGAAATGAGTGACATGATTTTTCGTGATGAACATGTCATGTAACATCCACAAAATCTAATATCTCATTTCCGGAATTTTTCGCAATTACAATTCTTCCTCACCAGCTGGGAAGTGAAAAATGTGTCATTCAATGGTCAGACATATGAAAAACGACGAACAACGGAATTTGAATTATTTTTAAGGTTGACCCCCCATAAAAAAGTTTGACTGATGCCAAAAATAACCAGAAAGTCTAGAAATCGCATGTAGGTTTGGGGGCGTTCTTAAATCTTTTGTTTTTAGCTCTTCTGATTGATATTCAAACTATACAAACCATACATGAAATTGAAAAGTTGCATGATCTTAAAATCTTTCACCCCTTAGAATTATTAATTAGATTAATTGATACACCTTATTAAAATAATTTCTCTGCCACTGGACCGATGTTCAAAACCTACAACACATTGATATGATGGTAATATTTTGTAAAGATTTCATTTAAATCAGTGCAGATTTTTCCGAGTTCTTCATTTCGAAATTTCATCCGATTTGTAAAGAGAGTCAGTGGCCGCGTAGCACGTTCCGATAATCGCCTTTAGATGCGTTGCTACTTCTCGGGCTGTGCAGCGGCAACACCGCCGCCGGTTCGGCTATACTCCATTCGTAGTCCATTTACGCCCAGTCAAAATACAACATGCTCAAAAGCGAGATTGTACAGGTCAGTATTTTTCTCAATGGTCTTGGAATAATCTAACAAAATAAATGATTATTTTTATAGAAAGAAGTGCACATACTTTTCACAATTCTTTATTCGCTGGAAGTACTTGAATCATCATCCGAATGGTTAATATTAATTATTACAGGTTCAATTTGAATATCGATCATATTGTCCAAATCCCACATCCTTGTTTCGATTGTCTCTTGAACGTGACGGTTGCCAACTTTCCAATTGTTTGCCGTTACTCTGTTGACGGCTTCATAAAACAAATTTTTCACGTCAGAAAATTTAAATGTTCTATTGTTTGAAGCCACATAGTTTTATATTTGCCCAAATCATTTCAATGGGATTTAATTAGCAGTGATAAGGGGGTAGCCTTAAAATGGTCTTATTTTGGTTTTTAGCCATTTCGGCAATAACATTAAGATTATATTTATACAGGGTGCGGCAGAGAGGATGGACGGTTTTAAAAAAATCATAAAATAGTTAATTTTTACTCGAAAACAAATTTATTGATGGAATCAGGTTCACAAGGAAATAGCATTTGAGACAGTCAAGTGTGGAAAATCACATCAGGCATGTGGTGGCCGAAATCGTTGATGCAGTGCTGGAGGCGATCTTGGAAGTTCGCGCAGACTCTCTCCAACATCGCTCTCTCAACTTGGGTAACTTCCACGCAAATTTCGCCCTTCGATTCGTCCAGAGTTCGGGGCTTGTTCGCGTATACTCTAGCCTTGAGGTGTCCCCATAAGAAAAAATCACAGTTGGATAAATCTGGGGACCGAGGAGGCCAATGAACATCGCCAAACCAAGAAATAAGGCGACCAGGGAAGAGAGGGCGAATAACGTCCATGGATGCTCGGGCTGTGTGGGCGGTCGCCCCATCCTGTTGGAACCACACACGTCGGATTGGAACACGTCGCCGTCCTAATTCAGGGAGAAAGAAGTTGGTGATCATGTCGACCGAACCGTTACTTTTGGGATGTGCAGCGGTCTTTCGTGTAACTGTTGCGGGGTCTTTTAGGTTCAGGTACTTGAGATGGCATATTGTCCACAGGGGCACGCAACGGTTACTAGCCAGTAACTTAATCTGCACGGGTATTACGTACCTTGAAAAGTGACATTTTGACGTTTTTTTGACATTTTGTAGGTTTTTCGACAAGATGTTAACTTAGCACTAGCTGTTCTATACTTGTTGTGACCTCGTTTTGTAGCTGTACCTTCAGTTATCAATGTTTAGGTCTGATGTGATGTAACATCTGCTTCAGAGATGACATTATTGGAGGTTTAAGCTGTAAGTTGTATACTATAGCTGGAAGAAAACGGGAGTGCATATGTACATAGAGAGGATTTGTGTGCTAATAATCTATGTTGATGATAATTCCATTGGTTTCTTGTCTCAAATACACTTACTTGAGGTGTATTAAAAGCCAGAAATTAGTTGCGTATCCACTTTTTCTTATTCAATCTGGAAATTACATATGAAAATTTGCTGAAGTTCAATTTATTAATACGCTATAAATCACACGTTCGCGCATAGAAACCACCCCCCGCCCGTTTTTCGAACCAAACCTACTACTACCCATTAATGTTAGTGTGATTTGCGATTCTGGGAGATTTTTATGCTTGTTCTGGGGGACTTATGTCTGACTCATCTGGCAACGCTGGTTGTAGCTAGAATAGAAAGCTACAAAACTAATGAATTTCATTATCTGGATGACATTTTTGATATTTTACAATAAAATTAAGTCGACCAATGAATTTTTATTTTCACCAGCCCAAGACACATCTTTAAATTTTGAAGAAAACTGCAGATTTTACATTTGTTGGAATGTACTAACTGTTTGAGTCTATTATGTTTACTATTTATTCTAGAATAAAGCGATAATTTTTACATTTTCTGTTTCATTGTAATCTCAATCGAACATTTTTTAATATTAGTATCTTAAAAGGGAGCAATTTCATTATTCTTCAAAACTTTTTCTAAAACTGAAATTTCTAAAATTAATTGCAGATAAACTGTTTATTCAATAGTCTTAAAAACAACTAAAACTACGAGAGCAAATATAATAATGTAATTCATTTTAATTAATTTCCAATCTCGTGTCCCCACTAAAATTTGATTTTCGCTTTCAAAATTGCTGGATATTCGGTTGGTTTGGATTACTGTTTAGCGGGTTAACTGAATTTGTCGGAAAGTGTCGGAAACGATGCTTGGCAGTACGTTTTCTGTTTTCTCTGCCTCAAAATTGACAAAAATAAAGATATCCTGTAGGCAGTAAAGTATAAGAAAATAAAAAATTAAAGTTGAATTAAACGTCATGTAAGAGTGTAATCGAAGTTCAGATAGTAGTAAGATGTATATTTCAGTCTTCGTCGCATGTATATTGTCCGAACTGGCGATTGAAAAAAATTTTTTCTATATCTATTGGCCGCTCTAGGCCCGGCTCACTGGTGCATGTTGCCAAGCTTATCTAACAGTATTTAGATGGTAACCCATTCCAATTTGCCAAAATTTCTACATTCTTGCCGAGCTGTGGAATTAAATTTCAAATGTTTTCAAAACTTATTTAGGATTATTTTGAGCGCATTAAAAGGATTACTATTTTTTTCATACACACGTTCCTATTTCTTCTTGTTTTCTGCGATTTGGAGGATCAGGAGAAAATAGGTAAAAAATGAAAAACCATGAAATGCATTAAAAAAAAATATGTCTATTCATTAAATTGCGTAAAATAAAAACAACTTTTTAAATAACATGTATTATAAGGTAAATATAGTGCTTAAAAGAAACTTACGATTGCTAGATCTAACTAGAACTATATACAGGTTACACTTAAAACAGTGCATTTTGAGAATAAGATTGTAAAATCAACAGTAATACCATGGAGGCAAGCTCCATGTTTTAAATGATACATAAACTAATAATTTTTGTCATGGTCGCTTTGTCATGGATTGAAGTTCATATTGGCAGGTCATTTTTCATAACTTAAACTTATCTAGTATAACGATTCAAAAAAAATGTTTGTACATGAGAATGCCCATTTTCATCATTAATACGAACTTATGAACACAACGTTTAAATTCAAACAAGAATTTGAAATCGGGAAAATAAAAAAAAGTTGTTTAAGAACGTAGTCTGGTATTCGGTGAACAACTTATCATTTAGGTACTTTTGTCCAGTTTCAGGTTTTTCGACCTTAAGTAGCAGTTTTCGAATTTTTGTGTTCATTCGACGTTCCAACGTTTAAAACCTGAAGGCACAGTTTCGTACATAAAGGGTGTCCCATAAGGCATAAGGTATAAGTATATTATTTTGGAATACACTGGCACCATTTTCAATTACTTAAACATTTTATATTATGTAGAGACCTGAGAATTTATTTATTGTCATCCTCATTTTTTCCATGAAAATTACGTTGTTGGGACGTAAATGTTCACTAACACATCTTTTTGGCAATTTTGTTTGATTTTTGGGCATTTTGGGCCGCTCTATTAAGCCGGAGCCCTGCGTACAGGCCCCGTGAACCGATATGGTAAAGGCGGGATAAGGGGCACCCTTTATTATAACTTCTTTCTCTACTCCGACATCTCAAGCACTCCTCAGTTCTTGCTTAGAAAATGAGGTTTGTGCTAAAATTGAAACTAAAGTTTCCGCTTTTACATACTATAAGGCCCCCAATGTTCGTTACTGTTAGTTTCAACTGTGGACGAGGTGTAGTTTGTGATAGTTGTCGATCCACTGAACATCGTCCTTTGGGGCAGGTACTGGTAGGATGGCAGGTATTGGTGCCCGTTACCCGTATAGTACGTCGAACTAACTGGTGAGTACGGGTACATACTCGTGGAGTTTTGGTGATGGAGATATCTGGAAAAAGGTTAATGGTTAGAATGTGATTTATTGTTTACGAAGGATTGCGGTTTGATCTGGCAATAGCATAGCTGTTAGTCCTCGTATTTTCATTAGTTTTTATGAACGGTTTGCGGTTTTGTCCCATCTTCTAGCCCGATTGAACTATTGTGTATCTAATACCTAAATTGGTCTGAAAAAATTCAGTTTCGCAATTGGAATTCCTATTTGTCAGTTCAATAATGATTTTTGTGTTTTTTAAACAAGGTCAGGAGGAGAAACTTATTTATCTTGTTATGCACTGAAAACCAAATTTGTCTGACGCCTTGAGTTCCATGTGTACGAGAGAGAAGTGTGTATGAACACATATGTGAGAAAGAGATAGATGCCGGCTGGATAGCGTGTTGCCTGGCAACGCTGACGTGGCAATCTGTCATTATGTTACAAAAGTTCCTTGAATTAAGATGTTGAAAATATGTGTTAGTTTATTCTCTACGCCCAAACAATGGTTTTATTTTGAGCATACAGATTTTTGAATTGTAAGTTGTGTTGAATCTGTATAGATCGGCCTTAACGGTGCTTCATTTTAGGTCGAAATGAGAGGTCAGGTCAGGATCGCCTCAAATTCTGCAACATTGCATCATTGGTTCGCTTGGCAACACCGCATCTCGTACATCCCAAGGCAAGGTTTCCACCTCCATAATCATAGATGATTGATTTTGGTTATACTACAACTATTTAAAACTGTAATGACTCATACGCGTGATCAACACGTGATCAGAGCTCGATCCCGGCTTCCTTCCAGTACAGCCGTATAGCGTACATATGTCGTTTCTGTGGCTTTGCGGTGGTCAACAGCACAGACAGAGATGGAAATAATGGCTGATTGTTCTCCGCCGGTAGAACCAATGAAATCAAAGACGCGCCTCGACCGGCAGACTCATAGGCGTCGGCAACGCATTGGAACGTGTTTCGTTGAGCGATCGCATATTGTGTGTTTTTATAAGAATTGTTGTGTGATTGTTATTGTTGTGGTTTCTGTGGTTACTGTTTTGGTTATAGTTAACCATGGAAAGTACAAATGGCACGAGTGGAAGTACTGAAAGCCAAGGAACAAGTAGATGGCTTCGCAAAAGCACTGAAGAGGGACGCGAAAGAAATCGTGCTCAACGTGTTCAATTATCTGAACAGAACTATGTCGCAGGGAGATGCACTCGCGCGTTGTGAAAGTATGATAGGCGTTCCAGAGTGGACCATTCGCAGGGTGGTGCATGAAAAGAAGAAAACTGGAGCTACTACTGATCCAAAGTTTAATTTGATGGGACGAAAGGCCGTTAAATTGGATGACGATAGCAAAATGGCGTTAAGGCGAACCGTACATTCATTCTTCTTTAGGAATGAGATACCAACCCTCAAGGCTGTACATGCAGCGATCAAGGAAAATGAAATTATACCCCAAATGCACGAAATTAATTTTCGTAACGCAACGCGTAATCGGAAGTCAGTATTGATAGAGAGACTTGAAATAGTCGCCTGGCGTCAAAGATTGATCGTAACTCATATTGGTAGCGATAGTGGCTTTTTAGAAGAGTGTGACTTGATTTTCGTCTCTAAGGAAGGAGGTGATTACCATGACGAAATGAATGCCAGCTGCTTCGAGAGCTGGTTTCAAGGGGTGCTTCAGCGAGTTGAGCCCAACTCTGTGATCGTCATGGATAGTGCTTCCTACCATAGTCATCGAGCCGAACGTGTACCGACTATGGGATCTCGAAAAAGTGACATGCAGCAATGGTTGCGCGAAAAAGGAATCCCGTTTGACGATTCATGTGTGAAAGCGGAATTGTATGAAAAAATTAAACAGCACAAACCTGCGAACATTAGTTACGTGACTGATGAGATGGCCCGTCAATGTGGTGTCACTGTGCTGCGGTTACCGCCCTACCACTGTGAACTGAACCCAATAGAGCTCATCTGGGCTCATGTGAAGGGTTATATTGCGCGCCATAACACAACCTTCAAATTACCAGACGTTAAGGTTTTACTTGAGACTTCCATACAGCTAGTAACGCCCGAAGCTTGGCAGAATGCTATCCGTCATGTTGTGAAGGAAGAAACAAAAATGTGGCAGCTTTACCACCACATCGACACCATCATAGAGCCAGTTATAGTCAATTTCAACGAGGAAAGCGATAGCGACAGTTTATTACTGTCAGATGTAAGTGGAAGCGACGATGAATAAAGGTAATTCCCAAATTTTTGACTTACAATATGTTTCAAACCACTCTTTATTAAGCATGTGACAAATCTGGTTCACCCATGTTAAACATTTATACCCCGCCTATGAACAGCCGACTATTGGTAGTTAAGTGATGTTCACGTGAACATCGATGAGTCATTACAGTTTTAGATAGTTATAGTATAGTACCCATCTAGCGCTCATTGGGAGTGTCGCCCTGCTTCGAAACGGTTTTCACCTAAGTACACGCAAGCAGTGATTGTATTGCTCAATGGTATTTCTTACATTTTCTCACCGCTCGCTGTCTCAAAATGTAACAATAACTCAGGATATGTTGATTTTATCAACATCGGTGGAAATCAAAGATAAGTCTAAAATAAATTAAAATCGCATCAAAATTGAAATAAATAATTCTAATCAAAATGAAAACAAAATATTACATCAACTGTTTGAACAGGCCTCCTTCTTGGGTTTAGCAGTAACCTAACCCATTGCAGAAACCTGTGCGAACATTTTCTGGTGCAACGTGGCAGTTTGCACGACCTTATCTGCGTCACCGTTACTAGCCAATGTGGTGATGGCCTTCGCTCTTCAGCTGGCATCTATCTCTTTCTAGCATATGTTGATACATACTTCTCGCGCTTCTCTCTCGTACACATTGAACTCAAGTCGCCAGACAAATTTGGTTTTCCCTGTACATAGTGTCACTCACGTCTGAATGGTTTATCGTGTGTTCAGTGGTAATCATTGTCTGCTAGATTTTGCTACAGTTTTGGTACTTGGTTGTAATTACCTTATGATAAAGTTGTAATAAGCTTTAAGCCTATTCTTTGATGACCGATTCAATCGTCATGAAGCTTTGCAATGGCAAAACTGGTTTTTAGCCATTTTCGAAGTATGGCATCGGTTTCATAAATGTATTATTTCAAATTTCAGTATGCACCCAGGCAAGTGTTTTTTTTCGTTCACTTTAGGGCATTGGGGTCATATTGAACAAAAAGGTCATTTTAGTAACTTCTCACACATCAATTGTTGGTGGAACGTAGGCATCTATTATCTTGCAGGCAATGAGCCAAACGCGATCTTTATACACAGTCATGTATCGTGGTAAAACATCTTTCTATGAATTTAAAATCTGCAATCTACAAACTATTCTGGCGAAATGCAGAAGAGATCTGAAAGACATTAGTGCAACCTATGAGATGGTAGTAGGTCACAAAAATGACAGATACACTTTGAAAAGAGTTAGTCTTTGGTTCTTCATAGATAGCGCTAGGATCCTCAATTCATATTTACACATCAACATAGATGGTTGCCTATCTTTAGGTAGAATATGTTAATCAATGGTAACAGGGCCAACAGAATCTTCTTACCTCTCCGTTTTCACCGAGGCTGGGCTACTTCCACTGTTACTCCCAGTCTGCATGTCCTGGTACCTCCCGAACCCCTCATCGCACATTTCCCCAGCCTGATGCTGTACCACTTCTCCCCCTCCCCCGCACAATCGTTTGTTCTTGTGATTGTTGTTGTCTTCTTCCTGTGAGTGTTTGATAAAAGCCTGTTGGTACGACTGGAACTGACTCTCGGAGGGGAGGTACTGGTCCAGGTCGTTGCTGTCCAGGCAGTCGTCAGGGATGTAGGCTGGATCAATTTCTGGAATGCGTTGATATCCTGGAATATAAAAATGGCGTTAAATGGGTTGACTCTGCACTTTCTAAGCAATTCTGTCACCAGTTCACGAACATGTACAACAAAAAATTGAATGGATTAAGCCAGTCAAACAGGCTCATACTATTAGTCTATATATCTGGCAACGCTGCTATGACTAATTCCTCCATGGCAAAAACCCATCCATCAGAATCCAACCCAGAGGTATATTCAGAGATGCGTGTGTTGAAAATATTTCTTTATCATTATAAATTTTGAGGGCAAATGTTCAGGGAAATCTATGATGTGTGAAATAGGTCTAATAGGTGCGTTGAGTTACAGGTGCTGGAGGCGTATAAATATACTTACCAAAAAAATTGAGATGTATTCTCACTCAACCCCCCATTTAACGCGTGTAAAAATTGTTCAGAAAAAAAAGGTTTGGGAGATTGTTATTTTTTTAATCATTCCGCCGATAGTGGATCTAAATTCAAAAACTACAAAAGCTTTTTGTCCTTGACAAAGTAGTTGTCTCAGTCAACTGCTGTTGTTAGGGACACTTTAAATCTAGTTCCTATGCTTAACAAAGTATACTGTGTAGCCATATACCACAAGTATATTAAAATATGGCCATATAAACTCACTGGATGATGTCCACCTGTATACGGTTTTGCTAATATCTTTTGTCATCGCTTTTCACTATCGTTTCTGCTAAATCAATAAATGTCTTTTTTGATATGCGGAAAAGTTTAGAGAATTGAAAATTATCATAGCTACAACGCCTTGGTTCCATCATTAAATTTTTTTTATAAAAAAAAACATGTCTCCCATTAATATTATGAAAGGTTTCTTTTTTAAACTTTCCATACACCGTTGTAGACGAAAAAGCATTGATTATTGAGTGATAATAAAAAGAATCAGAAATTATATACGCGTTTTTCTAAAATAAACAACTTTCAACAAAACCAAGGCGTTCAAGCGATTCGAGTAACTGACGTCAGCAACCCGTGTGTCATCTTGAACCATATTATAACCGCGGTATATAGCATAGAAATTTTGGTTATTCGCTTGGATTTGATTTATTAAGAGGGTAGTTAGTGTCTCAGACAGCGGGTGGTCTGTAGGTGGTGTCTATAAAAAATTGTTGACGAACACGGTCGAGGAGACCGGGTGCGAATATTCGTGTTATTATTTTTTGTAGGTGTTGATAAGTTATATCAGGTAAGTTTTAGCTTCTTTTTGCTAATTTCTGTTGGTATTTATGTCATGAATCTATTGTAGATATGGAGTTACGAAAAAGAACAAGCAAGATTCTTGAAACTTATGAAGATAGTCCTAACTGACGACGCATATTATGGCAATGATGACGATGACGAACAAGATGAGGTTGACAACGTTGAGGAAAGATCATATAGTGACAGCGAGCAGGAATTTGATGAGGCACTAGAAAATTATGATCTTAACCTACTCCAGCGTGAGCCGTGATTCGAAGGAAAGGACAAAATAACTATACGTAAATGGAAGAAACACTGTCCACCTAGAAATGTCAGAATGCGTAGTTATAATCTTGTTCTACAATCAACAGGTATAAAAAATTGTACAAAATCTAAAAAATCTGCAAAAGAGATCTGGGAATGCTTGTTGGACGAAGAAATGCTCAATATGATTACCAACTGTACCAATATAAAAAGACATTGCACCCAATTTCAACAGGGACAGGGACGCTGAACCTACCAATATTTCTGAAATAAAGACGCTAATTGCTATTCTTTATCTTTCCGGAGTAAGCAAGACCAATCATTTGAATTTGAAGGATCCTTGGAGAGGGGATGGCACCGACATTGAAGCTTTTACTATATTTTTTTCACAACCAGATATGTTTTTAATGGTTATAATATTATATCTTAGAAATTCTTATATCTTTTTTGTTGTTTAGTTGTACCCTTATTTATGATTTAATGTTTCAAAGTACCCATGTGAGGAAAAAAGTGTCGCTGCTTAATGTATTGATCTACATACCAATAAAATTATTTAAAATTTCTTTGTGTTTCTTGAAATTGATAAAGAAATAACAATAAACAAAAAATACTGGAAAATATAATAAATTATTGAACTAAGAAACAGAAAAAAATCTGACCGGAAATCTAGACCGTGCGCGAGAACTTATGCACTAAATTTTGCTGCGAGTAATGGAAGGTTAATTGATTATCAAAACATATAGAGAAAAAATGGAATTAAAAAGTTGCATGATTTTAAAATTTTTCAACACCTTAGAAGATTATTTGATACGCCTTATTAAAATTATAATTTCTCTGTCATTGGGCCGATTTTCAAAACCTTCAAAGACTGTTTGTCATTGATATGATGGTAATATTATGTGAAAATTTCGTTTAAATCGGAGCAGAATTTTCCGACTTTCAAGATGGCCAAATGATTAGCGAACAGACAGACCGGTGGAAATGTAACATCGAAAGTACATAATGTCTTCATTTCAAAATTTTCATTCGATTACAAAACTGTTTTTGTCAAAAGTTTTTTATTTTATAAAAACAGTTATATGAGGCATGCTGATTTTCGAAGTTTTCTATGCTTTCAGTTTTTTATATATCGACGAACGCTTGCGGTACCGCGGGGGATTTTTTGGTGTGCGGTGGTCATCTAGTGCCAAACCGAAAACAAGACAAGGTTTTTTAATATGTCAAAATCACGCAGTCATATTTACCTTTGTCAGCATACCCACTAATTCCGTCCATAGCAGGATGATGTTGATCCACACCAGAACAAGTAGTACTTTTGATCATTTGCACATGTTGAGCCGGGCTATTTGGTTGCGATGAACACGTTGAAGGAGAGGTACTACTGCGACTTCGAGGACTGCAAGGAGATTCTTCCTGCTAATAACAAATCTCATTTTACGAGTTAACCTTAACCAATTGAGCTGAAACTTTGTACACATGTTTGGTTTGAGTGACAATACAAAATGGCCTGACTGTCGCCATTTTGAATACAATATGGCGTATGCTGCAGCATGGCGATTTATCATTTCCATAGTAATCCCGATGATATGGGTATCGAACGAAAGGGCTTTATGATAGAAACACAATAAGCAACTTTACGTCATTCTAAATCTAATATGGCGGCCGCCGAAAAATGACGATATACATTTATACAAGCTTATTTTATTTTCGCACTCACCCCTGTGATATGGGTATTAATTTAAAGGGCTTGATAAGAAAGCACAATAAGCATAGTGATTTTATTCAAAATCCAATATAGCGGCCGCCGCAACATGGTTATTTACATTTTTTACAGTCATCAAATGAAGGGGCTTATTTTATTTTCACATTCATATCATTCTAAATCCAATTATCATAGTCACTCCCTATGATATAGATATCTAATTAAAGGGTTTTATCAGAGAAACATAAGGCTTCGCGATATTATTTTAAAACCCGTTATTGCGGCACCGCAAAATAACGATTTATGATTTCCAATGCCACCCCTATACTATGGGAATCGAATGGAAGCTCTTGTTGAGGGAAACATAATAAACAAAGTGATGTCATTCTATGTTCAATATCGTGGCCGCCGCTGAATGGCGATTTATAAGTTTCAGACTTTAACACGATAGGAAAAAGTCATTATAATTTTCATATGGCGATCGCTCCAAAATATCGACTTATCATTACATGATTTGTATCAAAATATATAAATTCAAATTAATTAATGAGTTTTATGGAGTCTTATTAATAAAATATACGAAATTATATAGAAACTAACAAACTAGTTACTTGAAATAATAAATACTAAAAAAGTAAAAGATAAATAAAAGGCCTTCTGCCAGTGGCATAATTTTTAGCAGCTTTGTTTTAAATTAGATGACTACCAACCTTAAGACCTCTTGAGAATACCAAAGGATGATGATGCTGATGGTGCATCCCGCCAGGGTTCTCATGCTGCTTGTTCTGTTTGCGTCTGCGCGGTTGGTATTTGTAATCTGGATGCTCCCGTTTGTGGATGATGCGCAGCCGTTCTGCCTCCTCGATGAACGGTTTTTTGTCGATGTCACTTAACACCCTGAAAGGAAAATATCGTTTAATTAACATTTTTGAATACGCACTTCATTCGAATGACATGGCGTCAGGCGGAATTCGCCTGCTTTCCGTATCTGTAACCATAACCAATCGCATACAACGTTATTTTCGTATTTTTACTTCTTACGCCAACTGGCGTATTGTAATCGCGAAAAAAATTCAAAATTGAGATATTGTTTTTAGAACGTTATATACATATAATACATCCATAATTGCTTATAACTTGAGAAGTGCCGCTTAGATTTTGATGAAATTTTTACACAAAGTTATTACTATACCAAGGATGACAGAGCCTTATAGTTTTTGAAAAGGCAGGGACAAAAACACCAAAAAGGGAATTAAAAACCACTCCTCCTTGGCATTGCAGAGGATTTTTTGTAGGAGTTTGAAACTTGGGATTTTGCGGTTGTAGGGGGTTGGAAGTTGTAAATTTTACGTCTTTAGTCAAAGACGTCCTATCATAAGAAGCTTCTGATTTCGGTAACAACGGGAATATTAAATGACGAAGTATATTGTGCTCATAATTTGAAATAATGCAATCGTTGACGTTGTGTGTACGGTCTGCAGTGGCGTCGTCACTGACACACCGCTACACAAGAAATATTTATATATTTTAGCAATAGTTGGATAGTGGGAGTACGGTACCACTTTAGCGTCCTGCGATGCTTTTGTAAAGGATGGCTTTACTGTTTTTATATGTACACATATACGTATTTCTATGAATTTTCTGATCCTTAAATGCACCTATTTCGCCTAACCTTTGAGTTACTCCGCCTATAATGTTTCTATGAATATTTTGTCAAGTAAATTTGACTACTTATGACGCGTTGATATACAACAGACACGGACTGACCTACCTAATCACAATTTTATTTCGCCTTTTGAAACGATTTGACTCATCCCCCAATGAAGGCGTAGTAAGTATAGAGACAATCTACTTGACGCCAGTTTTTCATAGTACGTTATTCATGCTTGCGTTGAGAATAACTCGTATTTCAATAGGTGTTAATGATGGTCAACCTCCGCACGGGTATTACGTATCTTGAAAAGTGGCGTTATATCATTTTTTTTGACATTATGTAGGTTTTTCTACAAGATGTTAACTTAGCACTTAGATGTACGTGTTGCCTAACCCTCATGAGGTTTCAGTTATAAATGTTTGGCTCTGATGTGATGTAAAATCTGCTCCAGAGATGGCACTACTGGAGGTCTAAGCTATAAGTTGTATGTGTTGATGATAATTCTATTGGATTCTTGTTTCAAAGACATTTAATTGAGATTTAAAGCTAGAAATTAGTTGCGTATCCACTTTTTCTTATCCACTCTGGAAATTACTTATGCAAATTTGCTTAATTTCAAAAATGAGAGAGATAAGAAATAATTATATTCACTGTACACTGTCGAATTACAAGCCATATACATGCTAACAGTAATTACACACAACCCGGGCGCGGTAGTGGTATCCCGTGATTCTCTTCAAAGTTTCTTGTAATTTGTAACTTCGAACATAACCTGTCTTCAGAAAGGACAACATATAAATAACCCGTCGGACACAGCCAGATATACTTCATTGGCAGCATATTCAGTAATGATTTTCTCACACAGCAAATATCACTGATTTTATACACATGAAGACCAATACTCCATCATCCAGATACAATCTTGCTATTCAACCAACTTTTTTCTCAGACATAAAAACTTCAGCCCACTCGGCTTCACAAAACATATGCAACCAGCAATGCGTGTAGTTTAGTTGAGTGGTTCCTCCATAGATGGACATTCACAACGATCGTAGTGAGCAAACGTGAAATGACTATCTGCGCCCTCAAAACTACCTAGTCTGCAAGATGACATACGTTTTTTTGACGTTTCATAGGTTTTTTACATAATACCCGTACCGGTTTAGCAGCTACTCCTTAAATTTTCGGTTCTCTGTAAGATAAATCGGTTCGTCATTTCCCAGTCCCCTGTCGGTTACTGCTAAATATCCCCGATAAGTTTGCAGCCTAAGAATTCTATCTATACTAGTTTCCACCAGCGTGTGTTCCACGATTTTTCGACCGTCCCACAATCTGGTCGGTCGTGGTTTGGCATTCGGCACCGAACTGCCGCTAGCCTAGCGGGTGGTAGACACGTCAAAGAGACCGCAAACAATCGATGATATCGATCGACGACCAGATAACCCTACGACGACATCACAACGGCCACAGTGGCGGTCATTACCGACCATGACTGAAAATACTTTGGAGGTGGATGGATTTGGACCCATGCCCGAATTGTCAAAACAGAAAACACATGTTACGAGTATCGGTCTTCTACTTACTGTTTTTGATGCATAATTTAGAATATCGCCGCATTAATGTAGAGCATTCGATTTCGATTCGCGTTTTTTACAACAAATTATAGACTGACGCCTCGTTAGTTAACCCTTTGCGGTTAGATGTATATTTTTATTTGTCTTCACTGAAGCAGCCGCGCAGGCAGGAGCGAAGCTTGGGCACTGCGGCTGTTATGAAGAGCTTAAAGAAACTTTGTTAATTCGATTTTTGGACTGCCTAAGCTGAGTAGAACTGGTACAAGCCTTCTCATGTAGACTGGGGATAAAGGAGCGGTTTTATCGGCCAGTAGTGGATGTACGAAGTTCGACACGGTTAGGATGGGAGCCCCAAATCAGGGTGGCCTGTCCGTCATTATGGAGGAAAGCTCTGACAAGCATAGCCTACTGGCGCAGCGGTAAAAGAGAGATAAATCGCTGATGGCCCGCCGGTGCGAAAGGGTCCCGACACTGTCCGTTAGAGAAGAGTCATAGATCAGTCGGACAGCCCTCCTCTCAACTGCATCGAGCATGCATAATGTAGTCGGGGCGGCAGCACCCCAAACATGTGAGCGGTACTCGTGGATAGGTCTTATCTGGGCCTTGTGAGGGGGTCATGAGGAGAAAAGTACTTCTTAGCCCCAAACAAATAGCCTAGCTCTTTCTCAGCACCTGTCGCTATTGACAAGATGTATTCATGCCAGATCAAATCCTCGGTACCCTGGACTCCGACCAGCCGAAATGAACGGCTCTTTGGTAGAACTCGAGAATCCATTGAAACCGGATGAGTGCTAGGACGCTTTTGTACGTCAGGGTACAGTACTGTGTTTTGGATTATGAAATCGTTCATCTTATAGTATAGAATATAGATATATCGCAACTAAAATTTAATACTGTCATATCTTCGATTTCAATACTGTCAATGCAACTTTTGCAACATCCTGTGGCTTTCATGTTCATAGGACTACACTGTATGGTCGAATCAAACCACATATAAACTGAATCCAAACTCAATATGAGATGTAAATAATAACAGTTAGCGCGTGATCTCTCGGTAACAGGTAGGGACAACGCCTCTTATTGGTCAATTCGCCATTAAATTTCAAGCGGTCGCCTGGCGGAATAATGCGCGTGGCAGGGGCAGGGCAGGCAGAGTTGCATTCAGGCCACAGACCGTCGCGTGTATCACTGCGTGCTCGTATTTTCGTATTCACCTTGCTTGGTTGTTGCTGTTGTTGTTGTTAAGTGTATTTGAGTAATTTGTTAAGTTTCTGTTTCTGTTAAATACTGTCATCTTTGTTTTACAACACGTTGGTGGTAGTCCATCATTCGGAGGTAGCCCTGAGTGCGGCCCTGTACGCCGTCCTTGCTTTTGGCAATCACGCATCCATTCTATCTTGGGTGTAAATACACTATAGATATATGTTTAAATTTCTGTTTATTGTACGATGTTTTGACTACTACAGTAGCCTTTTCCAAATGCAATAGTTAATTGATACGTTCTCTATTTCGAAACAATTATGAATGTTCCTGAAGACTGGATAAAGAAGTATTTTGATAAATAGATGGTTTATAATTATTATCTAGTGGTATTGTGCAACCAATAAAAAAAATTGTTTTGCTACGTAGTAAGCCACATCCATAACAGCAATAACGGCATACGCCACAAATTTATTATTGAACAAAGTCACTATCAGAACTGCAGCCAGCAGGAGAATAGTCTCTATCCTTCACATTATTAGCCGAATTAAATCCAGAATCAACTTTGTTCCCTGTATCTTTGAAACATTTATTGTTTTTACCATAGACTAGTTTCCGTTTGGCGCCCATCTTGGAATTTAAGAGGCTAATAGAACCCTTGGCTCTCCCTGCAGACATTCGTCAGAAAATTTCTGACAAAAGAGCTGCAATTAAGCAAGCGAAGAGGTCTTGCCACCCAGATGACATTCACAGAGCAACGAATCTTGTTGATGAAGTGAGATGTGCTCATCATGAATTCCGTAATGAGCAATGGAGCGACTTTCTGTCGGGGATGCTTGACTCAAGTATTCCTATCTGGAAAGTTCCAAAGTCGCTCTGAAACGGAAAGCGAGAACAGCTCCCGCACATCCACGGTCCTAGGGGCATAGTCTGTAGGACAGAGGAAAAGGTCGAGGTTTTCGCTGATGCAATGGAAAGTCAGTTGTCTCCCAACTATGACCTTGATAATGACCTTGACGAGGAGCAACATATTGTAAGATCCGTCAGGAGATATTTTAGGGTCAACGGCGTCAGTGACAATAGTGCCTCCTTAGTGATTTTTCCTCAGAGGAATCTTCAGAAGATTCCTCAATTGAAGAGCTGCAAAGCACATCGGCGGAATCTCCTGAGACTCCGCATTGCACACCAGCAGAGCTCCAAGGTCATATTAAAGACCTCAAGGTGCGTAAAGCACCTGGAGAGGACCGAATCACTAATAAGGCGCTGAAGCTACTTTCGCAGAAGTCCTTAACTTATCTCGTGGCAATAATCAATGTCATGCTAAGGACCCAGCACTTCCCAACAGCGTGGAAGACCGCTGATGTCATAATGATTCCAAAGACGGTGGGTTCGATATTCTCCAGGATTACCGCCCCATTAGTCTACTGTCAGCTCCTTCTAAGCTCGCTGAAAAGGTGATTCTACGTCAC